TTTTCCCCAGACTGTCATCTACCTAATAGCTCAAAGTTGGTGTAAGTCAAAGTTGATGATGCCCATAGCATACTTCTCAGATTTCAGTGAATATAAGTATCAGTTGTGGGTACTTATTTTGAGAAGACTGACTCTTGATCCCGTACCCTGAGTTTCTGATTCACTATGCTGGGTGGGGCCCAGATCTCTGCATTTTTTAAGAAGCATCCTTGGTGATTTGGACCCAGGTGTTCTGTGGACCATCTCCAAGAAATACAGTCCCACAGAGAGTAGCCAAGCCTTAAAACAATTATTAGGCATACAAAGCCATGTTTTCAAATATACGGTCTCCAGAGAGAGAGGCCTAGAAGTCATTGACCCCACTTCCTCAAACCTACATCACAGAAACCACAGGTGCAAATTGTCTTCACAGCCAGAACTTACCTACCAGCAACTTCTCCCTTCCGTTCCCTTAACACTGATCATCCCAAAGACAAAAATACAAGTGATGTCCTTCACAGGCCACCATGCTAGTCTTATTTTCTCTTTTTAAATCACACCTAAAGGCAAGAATCCACCAGATACATTTGGTGTGTTTTTCCTGCATCATTATTTAAGGGAGCATATATATTCAACCTAGAGAATACACTGATGATGATAAATGTGACTCCTCCTTATAGTCTTCCGATTTCTGAAACACCAAAGCACAGAGATGTTGGTCGGACCTCTAAACTAAAGGTACAAAACAAGAAACAAGTATTTTCTGTGCTCCAAAACTGAGTACACTGTACCTTCACAGGGATTTACCAATGAAGACTTGATAAGAGAGTGCCCAAGTCTGGACATATGAAGAAAGAATATGAAATAGACGAGTTTATAAAGACAAGTTTGACAATAAAAGAACTCTTTTCATTTTCGAGCAAAAATGCGTTTTCTCCTACACACATACATACGTAACCTGAACAAACCAGTTACTTGAGAATGCTTCATCTATTTCCTCTATTATACTAACATCACTCTCCATGTCTTTAAAAATATATATTGTCCAGGAGCTGAAGTAAGCATGCAAATGGATAGAACAGCACAAATGCACTGGTTCTTATGACTAACTTCCAGATAAGGAGGTAGTTCCATTCAATAGTGCAGCCTAGTCTTAGCCAATATTGACTTTGGAAAGAACGCCGGGTTAAGATGAGAAAGTTCAGAAATTCCAAGCACTAGATCTTACTATACACCATTCTGAACCCACCTATAGCTATATCTTATATACCTATAAAATACAGACCATTTTATTAGTCAAACTTCTTTGGTCATAAATCACAATTCACATAATTCTTACTTATTAAGAATTAATAATGATAATAATGAAAATAATGAAAAATTAATAATTTATTAAGATATAGTACTATTATTTATTCATTCAGATACCTGAAAAACTCAGGCATAGCTAGATTCAGCAACTCAGAAGATGATATCAGGAATTTGCCTCCCATCATCCCTCAGTTTCTCTTTCTCCTACAAAGGATTCATTTTCATGCACACTCTACACCCAGAAGTAATAAAGGTGGCAACCAGCAACTCTGAGTTTAAATCCTTCCAGCATTAACTTTGAGGGAGATACCTTTCTTTTCTAAAGAGTTCTAATGCATTGATTAACTGGCCTGATTTGATTTCTGTGCAACTTTAGAACAAATCACCATAGGCAGGGAAAGTATGATATGTAGAACCAGAGCAGAGTCACATCTCACAGTAACCACACTGATGATTTATAGAGAATTTGTTTCCCCAAGAAAACTTCAGATACTACTGCCAGTTGAATAAATGTTGATTCTGGTAAGAAAAAAATAGGAGACAGGCACTAATGTTCTATTTCTTGAATAAAGAGGTTTACTGAAATGCCTATTTGTGTGGTGCTTAAATTATTACATTAAAAAGGGACATTGAGTAATTAAGTCTGTACCAGTGTATAAATGAAAAGAGTCTCAAATTCCCACAAACAATACTGAATACAAGAAGAAGGGTTCAATTTGGATCTGTCACAATAATAGTGACAATCAAAAATATACAAAGAAAACAAGAGCAAAGATTTGAGACCTAAAATCTGTTTCTTATACTACGATTTCTACTCATCTAAGGTTGATGGAAACAGGTAGCTTCCAATCAATAAAAGAGATAGTTGCCTTACTTAAAAAAAGATAAATCATGGATGTTCAGTCAATACTATTCATTCTAAAACAAACAAATTATGATGTTCTTTTGTCCCTAGTTCTTCCTCTGAAAATTTCAAAGCCATAGCAATACTGAAGACTGTCATATTGACTATCCATATACCCTTCGCTTACACTTACCAGAGATTAACATTTTGCCATATATGTTTTTCTCTTTCTCACAGGTGTGCAATGCATGCACACACTAATTTACCTCTACTGAACAATTTGAGAATAATTTGAGGAGATCATAACATTTACTCTCAATAGTTCAATACATATCACCTAAGAATTAGGCATTCTCCTACATAACCACAGAAACATTGTTACACAAAAGAATTTAACACTGACTCCTTAATATCGGCTAATATGTAGTCCACATTTGAACCTCCAATATCTCTAAAATTCCCTTTGGAGCTTTCTATTTTTGATCCAGGATCCAATTAATATTCACATGATGCAGTTGTTTCTTACAACTCTTTTGTCTCCTTTGTTTTTTTTTTTATTATTTATTTATTTATTTATTTATTTGACAGAGAGAGCACAAGTAGGCAGAGAGGCAGGCAGGGGTTGGGGGGGAAGCAGGCTCCCCGCTGAGCAGAGAGCCTAGTGCGGGGCTCCATCCCAGGACCCTGGGATCATGACCTGAGCCCAAGGCAGAGGCTTCTTCCCACTGAGCCACCCAGGGGACCCCTCTTTTGTCTTTTTAAAGTAATTCTCTTGCCATTCTTTTTCTTCCAAAACATCAACACTTTTAATAGTCCAGTCTGGGGCACCTGGGTGGCTCACTGCGTTAAGCCTCTGCCTTGGGCTCAGGTCATGATCTCAGGGTCCTGGGATCAAGTCCTGCATCAGGCTCTCTGCACAGCAGTGAGCCTGCTTCCCCACCATCTCTCTCTGCCTGCCTCTCTGCCTACTTGTGATCTCTCTCTGATAAATAAATAAAAATCTTTAAAAAAAAAATAGTACAGGCCAGTCATTTTGCACAAGGGCTCCCACTGTAACTTCATCTTTTTTTCTCATGATTGATTTATAATTCTGATGATGCCTACCTCCCACTGCCTCATATTAAGAGACACACAATGTCAGTTTGCTCCATTATTGATGATGCTACATTTGATCACTTAAGTAAAATGATGTCCAGGGCACCTGGATGGCTCAGTCAGGTCATGATCTCAGGGTCCTGGGATTGAGCCCTGCATCCAGCCCCCAGCCCCCTGCTCAGTGCGGAGTCTGCTTCTCCCTCTCCCTTGGCCCCCCCCCACCCCGCAATTCGTGCTCTCTCTCTCTAATAAATAAGTAAAATCTTAAAAACAATAAAATTTTTTTAAATGTCCAACAAATTCCCATTATATATGTTCCATTTCTACCTTTTCTTTAAAGTGTTTCTGAGAAAAAAAACATTTTTTTGAGCTTTATTTTTTATTTTTTTATTAACAAATAATGTATTATTAGCCCCAGGGGTACAGGTCTGTGAATCGTCAGGTTTACACACTTCCCAGCACTCACCATAGCACATAGCCTCCCCAAAGTCCATAATCCAACCACTGTCTCCCTACCAACCCCCCACCCCCCCAATCCTCAGTTTGTTTTGTGAGATTAAGAGACAAAGTAGGAGAGAAAACATTTTTAAGATCATGTGAATATCTATTCCCCCAAAACTTTTACCTAATAGTTTTTTTATGCATTGGTGATGTTTTCCTGAATCTATAATTTTGGGGGAGTTCTTAAATAATAATGGTTTTCTATATATTATTTTTTCTTCATTTATTAGCAAGCATTCTTCTGTAAATGACTGAGTCTTAATCTCACCCCAATAAATATTGGTAGCATCTGTTCAAGAACATAAATTAATCCCCTCATTTTATTTATAATTAGTATGATATATTCCCCAAACTCATGGCACAAATATGGTCAAATACCTTCTATCATCCTACTTAACTGCTCAGGTCCTTACCTTTCTTACTGATAGAAAGCCAGCTACCAACCTTTGGATTTTGGGATTCCCTCTCCTTTCCTTCTCTGAAGTGGTCAAAAAAACTGACTTGACAGTCAGAGCAAGAAGGGGTGAAAGAGGGACAGAGGGAAGGAGAGATGATATAAAAGAATGATATAAAAGATGATATAAAAGAATGCTTTTATAAAGCATTCTTCAGGGTAGTTATTACCAGTGTAGTGAATGGCTGACATCTGGTGGTAAAACAGTAAAAATTTGCATGGATTTGTACACTCATAGAAGAGGGGCCATTTGGTGAATGATGGCTATGTCTTCAAGAATAATTTAAAAAGCTGCGAGTCACCCAATTTTTATGTCCACATCATATCAAGCACCCAGGTATTTGAAAAGATCTGTAACATCAGGTATCACATAGATACTGACAGTATCCATGTCATCTGTGACAATGGAGTCACTATTCTCCAAACCAAAGAACAGAAAACCATGAAATTGTTCAGCTACTTTTTCTTTTTAACATGAACACTTAAGGAAGCAAAAATAAACATATATAATGGCACTCAAAATCATTTGCATATTTTGTTAACCCATTGTCATTTTAAGAAATAAGAGAAAATTAAAATTAAGTTCAGAAAAGTTTAAAAAATGGGTGCTTAGCATTGATCCCTGGGAAAGAAGACACAGGCGATAATGTTGCCAAAGGCCATTACATCATTGGCTAGGAGATTGTGACCTGGACTGGATCTGAAAACTGGCAGATCTTTGTACAGTGCTGTGGGACTTGCTCATCTTCCACAGCTTTGGGGACAGCAGCAGCCCCAGGTTTGTGCCCCTGCTCATGAATCCGTTCTTGGTGGTCTATGGCAAGAAGCCCAACCTCAAATTTGCTGGTCCTCCAGGTTTCCACAGCCATGGTGGAGCCCTACAATTCCTTCTTGTTCATTCACATGACCTTAGATCATTCTCACTGTGCCTTCATGGTCACCAAGGAAGCCTTCTATGACATAGGTCAGCGCAACCTGGATATCATACATACTAATCTCTATCGTTTGATTGGGCAGGTTGTGTCTATCATCATCACCTCTCTGCAAGTTGACAGTACCCTGAATGTGAATTTGACAGACTTCCCAACCGACCTCATCCCATACCCCCACATCTACTTTCCCCGGGCCACCTACTCCGAGGCATCTCCGCTAAGAAGGCCTACGATGAGCAGCAAGATCACCAACGCCTGCCTGAAGCCAGCCACTCAAATGGCCAAGTACGACTCTTGCCACAGCAAGTACGTGGTTTGTGGCGTGTGGTGTTGGAGGGACAAGCCAACATCAACACAGCCTTTACCAGCAACAGGATGAAATGCAACACCCAGTTTGTGGATGTTGCCCAACTAGATTTAAAGTGGACATCAACTACCAGCCCTCTGATTGTCATCCCCCGGGGAGACCTGGCCAAAGAGCAACAGAGTGTGGGCATACTGAGCAATACCATTGCCATGGCTGAGCTCTGGGACTGCCTGAACTGTAAGTTTGATCTCACGAAGCAAAGTGAATATTTATGTGTTGTACTGGGGGGAAGGCATGTAGGAAAGAGAGGTCTCTGAGGCCCAGGAGAACTTGGCAGCTCTGGAGAAAGATGGGGAAGAGGTAGGCATGGATTCTGTGGAAGAATACGAGAGTGCGGCTGGCAGCATAGCTGGTTTCAAGTTGTTTACAATTAAATTTCCTGTATTAAATTATTAAAATAATAATTCTATGACTACTAAAAACCATTGAATTTTCACTTTTTAAAAATTTTTTTTAAAGATTTTATTTATTTATTTGACAGAGAGAGAGAGAGAGAGAGATCACAAGTAGACAGAAAAGCAAGCAGAGAGAGAGGGGGAAGCAGGCTCCCCACTGAGCAAAGAGCCCAATGTGGGGCTCGATCCCAGGACCCTGAGATCATGACCTGAGCCAAAGGCAGAGGCTCAACCCACTGAACCACCCAGGTGCCCCTGAATTTTCACTTTAAATGAGTGAATTTTATTGTATGTTAATTTTACACACACACACACACACACACACACACACAATCATATTCAAAACTGGTAAACAAAGACCATCCTCAAAGCCTGAAAACTCCTAGTCAGTTGGGCCATTTAGAAATCGCTTTGTATCTTCCAAAACTGAGTCATATCTCCTTCAAATAATGAATCATTCCTACCCCTACCAGGGGCCTCACTAATGAATCCTCTAGCTTCACACTTGTGAAAATGCCCTATACCTGTCCTGCTTAGGCCAGCTGTCTACCCTTCCCCAGGGTGTCCTGCAACACTGCTTTCTTTGCTTAGGTAAAGGCCTACAGATATGGGAACATTTTTGTTGTGTGTGGAAGTCTGCATCCCACAGCACAATTTCTCTACCTGGTGCCGTCCTCTTGCTGTACCTGCCTGCCCTCCATCTCACTGTCAGGTACATCTACTGCCTACTTTGGATTCCTCAGCTCAGGGAGCCCAAGTCTATGACATTCAAAACCTGAAAGGTCTCCCAGAGGGGAGAGATATGAAGCTGGCTATGGAAAGAAATGAACTGTGTGGGAGGAGAACAGAAAACATTCAGCTTTCTACTCCTTCACTACCTTCAGTGCCCATTCTGTCTTCCCTACTTATACATGACCAGTCCTTCAACACAGTTGTAATAAAATTCTTTACCACCAGAGCCAAACACAGCTTCCTCTCTGAAATATCATATTGTTTTAGCAAAGCTCTGTTTCCCAATGATCTTGGAAATTCAGGTATCTTAGTAAAATATATACTATGCTAAGACTTTCAGGTTCTATTACGAACTGATTGGAATTCAAAGGAAGATTTAGGACTGAAGGCTAATAACTTCAAGTTTGTGAGGCAGGATAGGACATATGCCTAAGAATTTCTGATTCTTATTCTGGAAAAAAAATTTTCAAATTGTCTCCAATTTTCAAATTAAAAATTGAGGTAAAAATAGGAAATCGATATTCTATATAAATTACACTGGATTGTAAATTCCTTAGCAAAGACCAACTGCTATGTGATTACAAAATAATACGTTACTGCAAAGACTAATGTTCTATCTCATTCGGTTTCTATTGGCAGATGAGAATGAGATTCTTGAGAACTTGCATGCTTTATTTGTAGCCCCTTATATGTGGTGTTCACATCTGGTATACCCATCAAAAGGCGGAAGGGGGCCAAATGCTCTGCTGCCATCATTCAAAAAGCTAGGAACCTTGCTTGAGCATCTGTTCGATCGGCCACGTAATATAAATAATGCCACAGACTATGTGTAATCAGTCACCAGATGTCTTGGATCACTACCTCAGCAAGGATTAACAGGAAATGTGGCAGGTCAATAGCAAGTACAGATCTCTGTAGCAACAAGAATGTCTTGGCTTCTCCAAAGGGACACATATTAATTAAAGTTTCATTCTGGAGAGTTCCAAACTGTGCATAAGTGAATGCTGAATTCCTATCCCCAGGACTCCAGACTCATATCCAAATATCTACCCAATGGATCTACTCAACGTATAATAAGCATCTCAAACTCAGCACGTTCAAACTGAACTTCTCTTTTCTTCCCCAAACCTGTTCTTCCTAGTCTTCTTCATCTCTGTGCTTCCAGTCCTGCAAGCCTAAAAAGTTTAGAGTCCTCCTAGATTTCTCTCTTCCTCTAAAAGCTATCTCCGGTGTCAGCAAATCCTGTTTACCTTCAAAATATAACCGATACTAACCATTTCTCACCGCCTCCACTGCTATCCATGCCATCATCTCTCCCCTGAATTACCACAACAGCCTCATAACCAGTCTGCCAATGCACTTTCTCTGACCATTCCTATTCCAGTTTGCAGAGTGATTATGTAAAACAAAAATAATAAGTCAGATCATGTCTCTTTTCTCAAACACTTCCAGTGAGCTCCCATATTAAACTAAAAACAGAGTCCATACAATGACCTTCATGGCTGAACACACAACCCCCTAGCCTCTGTGGTCTCCTGCTATACTCCCCCTTATTCCATTCTAGGTCTCCTGGACCCCTTCTTATTCCTCAAAATGCCAGACACAGAAACACTACATTTTTCACTTGCTATTTCTTCTCTCTGGAATGCTCTTCCACTAGGTATACACATGGCTCCTTTTCTCATTCTATTCAGAATTTATCATCTTCTCCTGTTAAGTTGATTTTTCTGCTCCCTATTATGTTTCTGAATTCATCCATGCTTTCTTTTTATGTAGCTTTAACCTACTCATTTTCATTGCATTTAGCATTCTACTGTACAAATATGTCACAATTTATCAATTCTATTGATGGAAATCTATGGTGTTTCCAATGTTTTGTTATTACGAAAAAAATCCTCTTATAAACATTCTTGAACATAGCTCCTGGTGCAAAATTGCTGGATTATAGGCTTGCTGCATCTTCAGCTTTGCTTTGCTACATAAAGCTAAACTATTTTTCCAAAATAGTTGTATCAATTGATATACTCACCAACTATGTATAACTGTATTATCTGCTCTACATCCTTGCTGATATTTTTAATTATTCCCAATATGGTAGTTTTTAAATTGTCTTTAATAATGGTTTTGATCTGCATTTTTTTCTGGCTATTAATGAGGTTGAGCATCTTTTAGTATGCTGATTAACTGTATCAGGATTCCAACAGGGAACAAATGACAAGTTAGATAATCAAAGGAACTAAGTACAAAGATGTACATGGAGTGTAGGAGAACCCAGTCTGTCCATGATAGTGTTGTTTCCACCCTAAACCCAAAAGGACAAGAAGAGGAAAAGGTTACTGAAAACCTAGAATAGTCTTACAAAGCAGGAAACTTTGGTTAAAAGAAATAGCTAGAGTGAGGAAGGGATCAAGGAGAATATCTCAACTTCATTCTCCTCCTTCCTTCTGGTCTATTGTCAGGAAGCTCCATTGGCTAAATCCAACTGGAAGTCAAAGGGAATGGGAACTCTGCCAATGCCAGGATCCTGGACAGAGCACAGGAGAAGAATGTAAAGTTGGTATGTAGGGGCAAACAAAAGATATTTGTAGGTGCTATTCATGTTCACTTTTCTTTCCTATGAAGTACTTGTTCAAGACTTTTGCCCATTTTTGCATTGGGTTATCTTTTTCATATTGATTTATATGGACAATAATTTCTATTGCAAATGACTAGTTTTTCTCGTAATCCTTACGACTTTTCTTTTTTCTTGCCCTAATATATTGGCTAGAGCACCTAATACAATAGCAGTGACACCTGTCTTGTTCATGATCTTAAGGAGAATACTTTCAATGTTTTCCTCATTAAGTATAAAGCTTACTATAGGATTTTTTCTTAATAACATATACTGTATCAGGATAGGGAAATGCTCTTTTGAGTTTGCCAAGAGTTTCCTGTTGCTCTTGTTGTTTTAAATTTCAAATGGATGTTAATATTCAGCAAATATTTTTTTCTGCATCTACTAGATCCAGGGTCTAAAAACTAGTGTCCTCAAAAGCCAAATCCTTCCCACATTTTTAAAAAATAAAGCTTTATTGGAAAACAGCCACACATACTTCTTTAGTACACATGGCTGCTTTCACACTACAATGGCAAAAATGTGTAGTTCTATGGCCAGCAAAGCTAAAAATATTTGCGATCTAGTTAGCCTTTGGCACAAGTTTGCCAACTAGATGATCATACAAGTTTCCTTTCTACTTCTGATCTTTTTGTTTAGCTGACTATTCTCAGAGTGAACACCCCAAATCCACTCCTTGTCATTTACTGCTCTATTGCCTACAAGGCTTATTTTTACTGCTTGCATCCTGAAGCTTCCTTGCCACCTGCTTTTCCTGGAGGCTGACAAATGAAAGGAAATAGGGGGCCCTTGTTGGTCACAGTACTGACCAGAGGTTCTGGCAGTAGACACATTCTTCTATGGCTACAAATACTGATGGTTAAACCCTCTTCCATAACTCCATCTCTCACTAAGCATTTCCTCTTCTTGCCCTTTCATTCCTAGAGGTTTCTGGCTCCTACTGGTCATCAAAGGGATGTCCAACTATCCCTTACTGGTTCCATTAATGCTTCTTTAAACTGTTCCTTAAATTTCCTTCAGTTATAACTATTTTTTGTGTTTCATCTCTTTCTTGCCGTGTCTCTTAGAAATGTAGCCATTAATTATACAAATTGCTTTTCTAACACTAAATCAACCTTTAATTTTTGGGATCTACTATTCAACTGCTCATAATGCATATTGTTATAGGTCGCTGTATTCAGTTTGTTTTTTATTCTTTTACGTCTTTGTATTTGTATTTATTTTTATTTTTAAAATTTTATTTTATTTAATCAATTAATTAACATGTAGTA